CCCCCCCCCCCCACTTTGGCCTCCCACCCAGTGCTTTGCCTGAAGCTTAGTGCCTGCCTAGGGGGAGGGTGGAGAGCACCTGAGGGAGGGCACTCACTTCCAGCAAAGGTACAGGGTTTCAATGTTAGAATGGCAAAAAGCTCACATCAAATCTATACATTTTTCCCTTTCCAGTATGTTCTACAAAGGGAAATCTGAATTCCCTTATCTTAACCCGAGGAGGGCTCTCCTCTCTGGGTTTATAACAGCCCATATGCAATGTGCCAGTTAAAGAACTAATCTTAACCACTGTGCAGTGTAACTCAGCAGATGAAACTCCATCTCCCAGACGAAACACCTCTGGCTATTTGTCATTCCTTTCCTTTTCTCATTTTGAAAATAGAAACTCCAATAGCCTGTGTTTACATAAGAAAAAGTGCACTGAAAATTTCTCAAGACTAACTCAAAAGATTGGAAAGGCTACTGTGTTTCTGTTATAAAGCTGGGAAAAGTGGAGTATTTGTACAGTTTTGCTCTCAGGGAAAAGTATCCCTGGTGCTCAGTGAAGAGAGGTCTTGTTTTATGGAAAATGGATGATTGCTTGATCTGCAGTAATGAGGAAGGGGTTGGTAATTCCACAAATTAAAAAAAAAAAAAAAAGTCCCTCAGATCAACAACATTCCTATGGTGTTTAGTTCATGATCAGTGCTTTCCTGAGAAATTTTAGTCTCAACACAACAGATTGCTTAAAATTCTGTTGGCTTAAGAAGAAATAAATTATAATTTACTAATATTTGTTATAATTTGGGTTTGGGTGCCTTGAGAGCTTTGGTGATGATTTCTTCTAGTTTACAAGTAAATGAACAGGCTAACTCATTTTTTTTAATTTATCACTAACCTTTAAAAAATTTTTATTTGTTACTATTATTCTTTTTTTGTCACTAACCTTTTATTTATCACTAACCTTTCAAGTTACTCCAAAGTATAGTTATGTTACTGTATTCATTCTGACGGTGCTCTCTAGCTTGCCTCGATGATGCCAGGCTTGTGTGGTTACGCCAAATAGATTGTGTGTATTTTGAGACGTGAAGTGACAAAGTGCTTTAAACTGTGTTTCACTTACCTAATCCAGCCTCAAGGGACCAGAATGGGAACCGCTCTATGACTAAAACTCTTTCACTGTGAAATCTTAACACATACATTCCTTTTTACAGCAGGGAGAAGGTTATAAGGTGAAGACAGCGAAGAAGGAAATCCGTCATGTGGAAAAGAAGAGCCATTCATAACAGTAAACGGTTAGTCAAGGCAATAGGTGTGCTCATAGCAACAACAGTCTGCCTTAACTCGCTGTGAAAACTCTCCTTTCTCTTGATGAGTGATTCAGATCCCCCCATCCACTGCCCTCCTCTCTTTTTCACTGAATTCCAGCTTTGAATATCCAGTATGAACTTATTGGGCTTATTTCTATATTTACATATGCAATGTACACACACACTCCAGTCACAGTTCATAAACTTTCTCCTCACAAACTAGTCAGGAATTTAAATGTAAATGGTGTTTCCAGAAGCAAATGTAAACAGTGATTTTTGAGTCCCCTCTAAGAGTAGAGGCTCCGTGTGAAATGTGGTAGCATTATACAGCCTGACAGGAAGCCGGTCTGGCAACAACCAGTTAGTTCTCAACTGATGCACTCTGAGATTTGTGCACATCCAGCCTTTCACCGTTTTAGCAGAATGGCCTCTGAGAATTCAATTTCCATTGAAATAGAGTGGTTGCCCATTTTAAATTAAATGGCCAAGATCCCTATATGCTACTTGGTATATCTTCCAGAAACCAGGGCAAATTAAATAGAAGGTAAATGGACTATTTTTTTTTTTTTTTGAAAAAAAATTTTAATGTTTATTTATTTTTGAAGGAGAGACAGAGCGCAAGCAGGGGAAGGGCAGAGAGAGAGGGAGACACAGAACCCAAAGCAGGCTCAGGCTCCGAGCTGTCAGGACAAGCCCAACGCAGGGCTCACACTCACAGACTGTGAGATCATGACCTGAGCTGAAGTCAGACACTTAACCAACTGAGCCACCCAGGCACCCCTGGACTACTATTTTTTTTTTTAAGTGAAATATTGGTGAATTTGCTTAAATTTGTCTGAACTTTTTTTCATAGATGAGGATATTTCTAACAAACATTGTTTTCTAAGTTTTACGTTATCCTATTATCTTTAGCTATACTTATGAAAGGTCATTTCCTAAGCATGAAAAAAGCAGATGGAGCTTTGAAAAGAAATTTGAAAAGGTCTCCTGAGTCCGTGAGGTGAAGTAGCATGATTTCTCAAGGGATGTGCACCAGCAGTTCTCTTAGCCCTACTGGTCAAAATGACAAAGAGCATATAGATTCTAGTTTTTACTCGGACAGATCTTCTCTTCCCCAGTGACCGGAATCCTGGTACTGCAGTGTGGACATGAGGAACTGAGAAATCTAGTCTCATTGCTCTGAATTTTGTTTGTGACTTAACTAAGGCTGAGATAAATTCCTTTTTCTAAGTTTTTATTTTAATCCCGGTATAGTTAACATACTATGTAATATTAGTTTCAGTAGAACAATATAGGGATTCAACGCTTCTGTACAACACCCAGTGCTCATCACAAGTGCCCTCTTATCTCCCATCCCCTATTTCCCCAGTCGTCCCACCAGCTTCCCCTCTGGTAATCATCAGTTTGTTCACTATAGTTAAGAGTCTGTTTCTTGGTTTGCCTCTCTCTGTCTTTTTTTTTCCCATTTGCTCATTTTTTTTTGTTTTTTAAATTCCACATATGAGTGAAATCATATTGTAGTTGCCTTTCTCTGACTGACTTCTTTCACTTAGCATAATACTTTCTAGTTCCATCCATGTTGTGGCAAATGGCAAGATTTTGTTCTTTTTTATGGCTGAGTAATATTCCATTGTATGTATATATACATATATATGTATACTATATACATATATATGTATATATATATATCTGTATATGTGTATGTACACATAACATATACATATATAACATAATATATACATATTATGTAATATATATATATATATATATATATATATATATAATCAAATTATTTTTTCCCCAAGATCTAGGATTAGGGTTAGAATTAGGGCAGGGATGAGGGTCTGTGTTTATTATTGCAGGCCCAGATAAATTCCTAATCCCTCCTTCTCAAAAAAGCTTACCATATGTTTATTCACTCCAAGATTTATTTCACTTCATTTCTGTGACACTTGCTGCGTAGGCACGGAGAAACTCTTAGTAGACAACATAAGCATGGTACTTTCCCTTACTGAGCTTATATTTTGGGGATTTAATGTTAACCAATCATAACTAATCACATTAGTATAATGGCATTGAGAAAACTACCAAGAACTGCAGAACATTCTGAAATTAATATTTACCATATATACTCATCCAAGTGTTCTACTCTGCTCTTCATTTCATTCTCACAGCTAACCCTCTTGAACAGATGCCCTATCATCCCCATGTAACAGATGAGGAAATAGGGCTCAGATTGCCCAACATCATGTAGAGTTGGCAGAAACAGGTACAAACCTGCCACCAGAGCCAACACCGTTAACACCCTCAACCATGTTGACTGGAGACTTGAGGTCTGAGGTGACAGGGAGGGCTTCCTTGAAAAAGTGATGTTTGAGTTTTGAAGACTGAACACAACATGACTGGGTGAAGAGGGAAGTTTGATGGTGTCTGGGGTCACCTTCTAGGCATGTGCAGCAGCACTTTGCAATGGCCAGAATGGGGAGGAACAGGAAGGGAGAATCTGGGGAAACAGGTCAGTGCAGCTGGCAGAGAGTTTGACCCTTGGGTCTGCAGAGGTAGGAAAGGTGGGAGTTGTCCAGCCTCATGAGCCTCTCTGTAGGGATTCTGGTCTGCACACTAAAAGCAGAAGGAGAGCAGTGAAGAAAGAGTCTCAGGCAAGGGTGGGGTATGGTCCAATGTGTACGTTCTGCATCACTCGCTCTAGCTGCAAAGGCACAGAACATACCAGAGGGGGCAGTAATGGATGAGCAGAAAACCGAGTAAGAAACTATTATAGGTGCTGGCTTGGCCAGGAGGATGGTAAGAGGCAGACTGAATCAGGAGACATCAACATGACTTGCTTTCCACACAGTGTGAGAGATGAGAAAATGATGGATGACATCAGTGCGTCAATACCTAGAATGAACCCACTTGTTATGTACGTCTTGCAGCTGTTCCTGGTGCAAGACATATCTAGATACATAGAGATGAATAAAGCACTAAGCATGAGTTTGCAGTCTTGACTTAGTCCATTTAAGCCGTTGTAAGTGATAAGCGAAAGGAATCCAGAAGAGAGTTCAGTATGCACCTCAACATTTGCCAGCTTGTTCAGACTGGATGGAAATGAACCAAAGTGGTTGCCCATAGCAGCGGAACCATTTTTCTAGAGCAACATCCACCTAGTATGTGTGAATAAATAACACCAAAAAAATACAACTGTGCTAGGTCCTTTAGATATGACATGGTCACTAAATGTACAAGAGGCCTTAAAATTACAAATAACCCACCCCATAAAGAAGTTGTCAGGGCCTTGGCTCACATGCTACACCACTCAAAGGAGAGAGAAAGTCAGGTAGAAGTCATATGAATGTGAAAATAACTCCAGCAGAAAGCAAACTTAATGTGTCAGATGGAAAGAACAGTGATTTGACTGTAAGCCTCACGTTACTCTCCAGCGTGGTATTTACCTTCCGTAAGTGAACCTGGGAAATGAGTCCAAGAATACCCACTGGAATTCCAGGACACTGAATGCATGCTCTGGAGAAATCAATTTGCAAATATATTGAGAGTTTTTATAGCCTGCTGGCTGCCTTTTTTTTTTTTAATAACAAAAACAACTAAGCAAGTAGACTGCTGCCAAATTTCACGGAGTCTCAGATGGTGACATCAAAATTTTTATTTCCCATTTTAGAACCAGCTAAATTTTGAGCTATCTGAACCCTGCACCTGCTTTTCTTTAGTACTGAGTCATAGTTATCCTGTTTTTAATGTAAGGGAAAAGCCAATGGCTTTCAATAGCTATAAAGATTTGTACACAGTGTATAGTGATTTATAGTTTACAAAGTGATTTTACATTTTTGTCTTATTTAATCCTTCAAAGAAGCTTCTAGATAGGTTAGGCCAATTTTGTTTGCTACCTTTTGAAGATGAATATTCCAAGGCTCAAGAGGTCAATGACATTTCTATTGTCACACAGCTTGTGATTGGTAGAACTAGGACTTAAACTCAAGATTATTGATACTCTACCTAGTGCCCTTTCTATTACACTTAGCTGTATGTCTACAATTTGAATAATAATAGTCATGTTCTAGCAAATGATTACTATACACCAGGTACTAGGTAAGATCATTACGTACATTACTGAATATAATCCCCAACACAATGCTGTAAGGTAAGTACTACTCTGAAGACCGAAGTTGAGAAAAGTTAAATGATTTACTCAAAGTCCTGTACAGCTGATAAGCAAAAGAATAAATTTGAACTTATCCAGAACCTAAGTTCTTAACTTATATTCATAGTTAAATAGTAGTTGATGATGCTTAGAGACCTAAAAGCAAATTTTGAATCAAACAGATGTACACAGACAACCTATAGTAAATGTCCTCATATTTTACACAGTGAAAATACTCGTAGATGTTTGTTCTTTTTTAAAATAAAGCAGACATCCATTTTGAAGGGGGTAACCTCTAAGTGTTTACTTCATAAGTACCATTAGAGGGCTGATTAGTGAGGTTGTAGCAAAGGAAGGTCCCCAGATGTAGCCATAAAAGACTGTGGAGCAGCTGTATTCCAAACCTCTTCTGGGGAAATGCTCAGAATCTCACAGCCATGTGGAAGCCAAGAGTGACAATGCTTGCCAAGGGCAACACTTTTTCTCAACCAGAAAGTTGGTTCATTTTTTTCATTCCTTCAAAAAATATTTGACCTTCTGCCTGGCTAAAAGTGGAAAGGCTAGATGTATGATGGTGAAGAAAACTTCCATGGGCCCTGCCCCTCCTAATCTCTCAGCCTGCGTGGAACAGATGCTTCAGGGCTAAAAATTCAAAGTCCAATATCCAATAAAAGAATAATGCGGAAACACATTTAGACTTTTGGGGGCTGGGAAGGTCACTCTGAAGTCATGACACATAGGGGCACCGGACTGACTCTGTGGAGCATGTGACTCTTGATCTCGGGGTTGTGAGTTCGAGTCCCACATTGGGTGTATAGATTAC